ATAATATAAATAGTTACAATTTAATGTAAAATTTTATATTATTTCAAATTGCCAATAATTCATTAAAAATTATTTTAAATTCTGCCAATATTTATATTATTTTAAATTGAAAATCTTTATATTATTTTAAATTGCCAATAATTCATTAAAATTTATATTACATTGTAAATGTTTAATATTTGTTTTATTTAATTTTATATTTAATATTTAGTATTGAAAAAAGTTTAAACCGGATAATGAAGTTTCGATATTGAAACCGGATAATTAAGTTCCGTATTTGCTAAAATAAAAATAATAATAACAATAATAAAGATTAAAAAAGTTTCTTATTTGCTCTTTTTTAAATTATTTTGTATTTTGGTTAACGTGCGCCTTAAAATAATTTAAATTTAAAACGAACTCCTTTTTATAAAATGTCCAATAAAGAATACTGATTAAAATACAAAATCAAGAAAAAATTATGGAGTCACACCACAACACAAGCAAGGGGAGGACCTCCTGCAACCGCTCAATGAGTCTGATCGATGGAATTGAGGTCCAATGCATAGTACACCGTGATTGATTAACACAATTACATTCTACACATAACTAACAACTTTGACAACTCAACGGTACTCTTTTGTGATTGACTTTGACTAATTTGCTGGCATATGACTTCTCATAATCAATTTTTTTAATAGCTTTGAGACAATGCTACAATGCTCTTACAAATCATACCTACTAAAAATAATGTGCCCAAAATCATGGCATATGCCAATCAATTCTTTTTGACTTGTAGCTTTAACTTGAGAATGTTAACAAAAACAAGACTATTTTTTATAAGTTTTATTTGTATCACTTCTTAAATTTGATTCTTAAGGCTCATTAGTGCCTAAACATGCATATAATAATGTAACATATATTCCTTAGGAATGGGTTGAAACCTTTTTACCAATTTTATAAGGTTTGCGAAGATCAAACTTATCAATGTGACAATAGTGACACATATCTTGATAGGCATGTTGTGATAGTTTGATCATTAGATTATTAAATGATAATCATCATGGTCAAAAATAAGTACTTAGCTGTTCAACTTGATCAATCAAGTACTATATGTTGAGATATATATAGCAATTACTAAAAATAAGATTATAATCCTTATGAATTTATGATAATTTATTTGATGTCCATAATTGATCAGCAATCTTTATTGGTAGTGTTGTCAACAAGATGTTTTTGATTGCAAAATCATGAAAATGTTATACTAAGAAGTAATCCAAAGAGTTGCAAACATCATTATATAATCTTTGGATGAAATATTCTAAATTTTTATTAATATAATTAGAATGCTCCCTTTAAAAACTTAGAACATATTTCTACATATTTATGGGAGGGATTTTGATAAAGAAAATTTTGAAAATATAAAATTTTTCGAGATGTGCAGCCAACACTAAATGCCGATCAACAAAGATACCCCAGTCTATCATCACCGTCAACGCATGCATTCAACAGCAACACCGTCAACAAAAATCACTTCCTTCAATGCTCATTGTCGACTAATAGTACTGGCCGGTGTTTCTCTTCGCCATTGCTAAGCGCCAACCACTGCCAACACCAATGATCGTCGCTGCCATCATCATGTGTGAATGGTAAAAAACTCATATAGCTCATGATTTGCGAAGGAATATTCGGGTTCCCATGTTTACACATAAATGAGTGGTAGGATATATGTTATGTGTGAGAGTTTGCATTTAATATATATTTCAATCGATAAGGAGAGAATTAAACTTATAGTTTGAGTTACTATATTTAATATTTGTAGAATGTATAAAAGCTATAACAAAATAGATGCGGACATGCGGTTAAGGATAAAAGGAGAATAAGAAACTTTTGATCAGAAACTCAGGTAGATCTGAAGAAGAATTTTCTTTACTTTTTAGTCACATTCATAGAAATACCATACACGCTATATAGGAAGGTAAAGTACTAGGCCTGTTTTACTAAGGCTTCATTTATGATATTTTTTTATTGTCTCTTAAAGCAGTTTTTTAGTACAAAAAATTAAAATTTATGTAGTAGAAAACAACTTTAAGAAACATTACGAAAGTCATCCCAAATGAAGCTGAAGATAGAGACATTTGGATTGAACAGTGATTATAGGAGCATTGACTTGTGTTGACCATAAGAAACTTTTTGGTGGATAAATCATTAGTAAAGATGTCTGCAAGTTGAACATAAGTCACGTAAGAAGGCATTCAAAACATCTGGTTGAGTAATTGACAAATTATAAAAATAATTGTGACTATAAGAAAGATCCAAATTGGACTTATTCTTTCATTGTAATTAATGCAATATTCCTTATTAAAATCTTATGCCGCAAGCGGTGCTTTGTATCGTGCCAATGAACCATTTTGTGTTGGAGAGGGAGGTACAAGCTAGTATCTAGGTTTCTTAATAAGTTTTTTTTTTTTTTTTCACTCTCTAATTTATTTTTTATGTAGTTTATACTTTATACTCATCATAGATCATAGAGGTATTAAAATGGATTGACATATCGGGTTTGGGTCCTACCGGAAATTGACCCTACTAGATTAGCCCGAACCCAACTTGTTTAATAAGTCGGTCAATAAGACCAATACAAACCCGACCCACAAACAACCCCAATGACCCAAACTTGACCCATTATCCATTTTTGATAAATAAAATAAAATCTTATTAAATATAAAGTTTATGATATTTGATTAAAAAAAGAAAATTCTACCCACAAAAAAAATTAAGAAAAAATGATGTAAATGAGTTATTTTTTTAGTCAAAATCAAGTTCGTGGTCAGCTCGAATCCGATCCCTTTAATAAAAGGGCCAGAAAATATAACTCATTTATTAAATTGATCAACCTGAACTTATATTTTTTAGGTCAGATTTTGATCATATTGTTGGGTTAGCATTAAATTATTAACATCTCTAACTCACCCAGTTATGACATAATTACTTTTTTTAATATAAGCCAACTACATTGCCGCTACCTGGATAATCTTTTCCAAATAAGATTTCTCAGCTCTTTTCAAGCAAGCTTATTTTATCATAAATAGCAAATATTTTCATAAAATGAGAAAAGTTTTACTCAATATTTATGGCATTAATTTTTTTTTTATCATAAATAGTCAAAAGAAGTACTGATTCAATAATGTCCGAAAAAATGTAAAGAAATCGTCTTCATAAATAAATTCATTTCTAAAATTAAAAAAAAAGATATAAATTGAAATTATAAAGTAACAAATATATTGATAAATTGGATAAAGTATTATTTTACTATTTTACCAACTTAAACACATGTGATATTATTTCTTTGTGATCAGTATATTACATTTATGCCAAAAACTCAATAAAATGAGCCGAAAGGACAAAGTTGTGATTCAGTATTGTACGAAAATCTCCAACACATAAAAGAAATAATCTTCGATGCATGGATTTGATCTTGTAAAGTAGCAAGCATTTTTATAAAATGAGAAAAGTATTTGACCCGTTCTAATAACATAAAATTTTGATTTCATCTTCAATAAAAATTCAACAAAATGAGCCAAAAGATTAAAATAGTTGATGTATCCTCAAAATTAAAGAGAGTGAAACTAGAGTACGTTCTCTTATCACCAGACTCCTCGATCACCGTCGGACCACGGATCATCGCCGAACTTCGATGCTAATGAGTAAAAAAGAGTCATAGACATACGATGCTAATGAGATCAAATGGGCACGAATGATTGAAATATTTGAAATACGGTTGAACACCCTAAATCCTAAACTAAGAATCAAATCAAACATCTGATCAATGCGAGGAATCATATAAGCTTAAGACGCAATTGCAATGAAAGAGTTGCAAGCACCTAATAATTTCTGCAAGCCCATGACGCCATCACATGATGTCACTTGATATTGGTGGACCAAATAGGTGTATTGTCAGGTCTATAGATAACGGCATTGCGGTCTATTTGGAGGACGAGAAAATAATAATCCCTGTATGGTTGCAGAGAGTTGCTGGACCAGACAGCCGTGGCACCCAAGTCCTTGTAAACGACGAGGTTTCCATCGAATTGCATCTGGAGAATGCAGCGGCTGCCCATTCCATTGGTACCGGAACTCCATATCGGAAAGTTAAATTCATGGAGGACCAGATTACAATCATATTGCATAACAAAAAAGTAGCCGTTATATGTAAGGTACTGCCCTGGATACAGAGTGTAACCTGCATATAACTTGAACACAGCAGCTGCTTGGTGGCTCATCATTACTAAGGCTGTTGTGAAAAGGAGGAAGATTGTAATCGACGAGTTGAAGGAGGAGTAAGGGGTGGCCATGGAACCTGCTGCTTGGGATTTTATTTCGTTATGATGAGCTTGCAGATCTATATATATCAATCAATCTATTATAGTGGAACTCTTCAAAAGCTGAGGGCGGAAGAAACAAAGCCTGTTTTGATAAGATATCAATTTGTCAATTATAGTTGACCGTTCCAATTCTGTTCGGCGACAAAATATGAATAATTCAAACATTACGCGCGTACGTATACAACAATATACAGTTGACAATTACTGAATATAGAGTTGAAAAATGATAAAAACAGAGTGGACATTTACTAAATTGTAGAGCTATTCAAAAGGCCAATATCTAAAATATGCCTTTACGATAACGAGAGAAGGGTTGAGTATTTCTAGGACATATTTTTAAAATGATTTCCCTTATTAATTATGTTGGCTAAAACAAAATAAAAAAAATAAAATTTAGAAATGGTGTCGATGGTTTGGTAATCTAATGACTGACTCTAACGGGGCAAATCCATGTGGCGAAGGGTCTTTGGGCGCAAGTGGGACAAGCCAAGTCATAGACTTTGATGAATTGATACGACTGATCAGCAAGTCGTTTAAAATGGAAATGACTTGCCCATTTTTCCCATTAATAAATTAAATTAATATATAACATGAGAAGTCCTTTAAATGACATGCTCATATAATATATTAATTTTTGTTGCGTCCTGGAGTATTCGCAGCGGTAGAGAAATATATAGTTTAAGATCTTAGCATTGTACGAAGATCCAGCACACAATCAGATAAGGAGAGGGTGTAGCATTTATAAGAGGCACCATAGTTTTTACGTGGAAACCCATGGAAAAGGGGGGAAAAACCACGGGGCCTGACCTAGTTTGAATGAATCCACTAGTATTTGCAGTCGGTTACAAATAAGGCCCTTCTTATGGAGAAGGTCATGGCTTGTTGTTACAAACGTACGTCATATAGAGCGCATTACATGGTGGGAGTTACAATAATCAATATAGACATGTTTGTTTGATTAGAAGGGCTATAGTCAGTACGAGATAGGGGTCCAAAAGATCGTAGTTGACAGGAGACAGGGGTTAGAAAGACCATTGTCTGGTGATGGAGGTCGGAAGGACCATAGTAGGCGACGGAGGTCGGAAGGACCGTAGTTAGCAGGAGACCGGGGTCAGAAAGATCGTTGTCTGGTGATGGAGGTCGGAAGGACCATTGTGGGTGATGGAGGTCGGAATGACCATAGCTGGTAGGAGAACGGGGTCAGAAAGACCGTTGTCTGGTGATGGAGGGTGGAAGGACCATAGTAGGCGATGGAGGTCAGAAGGACCGTAGTTGACAGGAGACTGGGGTCAGAAACATCGTTGTTGGCGGGAGATCGGGGTCAGAAAGACCATAGTAGTAGGGCGATTCTTTGGCAAAACTCCATGCATCAAGTAGTGGTTCGACAGAAGTTCGAGCCTCAGATGGTGGTCCGGCAGAAGTACAGTCCTCATGTGGTGGTCTAGGCCTCATGTGATGGTCTAGCAGAAGTCCGGACCAGGTGGTGGCCTGGTGGAGCACATGGCCTTAAATGGTGGTCTGATAGAAGTCTGGGTGTCAAGTGGTGGCCTGGTGGAGCACAAGGCCTCAAGTGGTGGTCCGGAGGAAGTTCGGACCTCATATGGTGGCCTGGTGGAGCACAGGGCCTCAAGTGGTGGTCCGACGGAAGTTCGGGCCACAAGTGGTGGCCTCGAGGAGCATAAGGCCTCAAGCGGTGGTTCGACGGAAGTCCGGGCCTCAGGTGGTGGCCTGGTGGAGCACAGGACCACTGCTTGATGATGGAGGTAGGAATGACCGTAGCTGGCAGGAGAACGGGGTCAGAAAGACCGTTGTCTGGTAATGGAGGTCAGAAGGACCATAGTAGGCGACAGAGGTTAGAAGGACCGTAGTCGATATGAGACTGAGGTCAGAAAGAGCAACGACGTTAGGCGGTGGTCTGACGAAGGTGAGGACCTCAAGTGGTGATTTGGCGGAGCTCAGGGCCTTAAGTGGTGGCCCGACGGAGGTGAATGCCTCAAATGGTGGTCTGGTCGAAGTCCGGCGGTGGTCAAGGATGAGCTTTTTCGTTCTCTTCCTTCTCTTCTTGCTTCGATCCCCCTTTCAAGAGAAATGTGGGGTATATTTATAAATTTCAGGAGTGGCATGGTCCGTAAATATGTAAGATATCAAGGGTAAATGGGGAGTGGTTGGATTGACGACCAATATTGAATCTTTTGATCATGTACCATTCGTCAGACATCAGACATTTAAAGGTCTTAATGATGTTGTAATTCAACGATCTTGGGCTCGTTGGAATTGTCTCGTCGAGTCGCTTGATTCGAATAAGCACGTCATGTTTGGAAACCTTTTGGTAACCCAAATTGTGGTTCAAACCTTCCAATATCGTTTTGGGTCCTTGATTTGGACTCATTTGGGCTCGGATTGAGTCGAATTTCGTGTCGTTGGGTTCTTATTTCCGAGACGTTCAGTTCGACTATAAATTTGCTGAAATCGGAATTCGGATGGTTCCAATTTTAATTTTGGAAGTTTCCAACTTTATTTTGCATCGAGATTCGTGCCCGATCAAGATAATTTTTTAATGACGTATCAGTTTTATTATAATTTATAAAAGATTGTCCCTTTCTTTCTTTGCAAAGGCAAATTAATAAATAATATTTTAATAAAATTAATAAATTACAATAATTACATTTTTTTAAATTAATAAATTATATTTTAGTAAAATTAATGGATTAAATTAGTACATTTTATTATATTAAAATTAATAGATTAAATTAATACATTTATTATAAAAAATTAATAAATTAAATTAATATACAGTATCAGAAGTCATTTACAATTTAAAGGATATTTATTAGTTTTACTAAAAAATAGTTTACTAATTTAATATATTAGTTTAATTTATTATTTTTACTAAAATACAATTTACAAATTGTATTAAAATATAATTTACTAATTTATTTTATTTTTTTATAATATAATCTACTAATTAATTTGTTAATTTTGCAATAGTGAAATTTACTGATTTTATTTTTTAATGGCAAGCACTTTCCTTAATTTTAAACGACTTACCTTGGCCCAGCCCGTGAATGACCCATCTCTCCCATCTTATGACCTGATTAATTCATCCAAGCCTAGAACCCGCCCGTCCCGCCGAGTCCCAAAGATCGTTGCCACTTGAATTTGCCCCATCAAATTATTGCGTCCGGTCACCTGACATGCGGACATTCAATCCGGACACGCCACCTCACCCGAATGCACTGGGCCCCGATATTTTTGAGTGACATGGCGCGTTTTTATTGGTGTTCGGACGAATCCGGACACCGGACACAATAATTTGCCCATAGCCCGACGTTGAATTGCCAAATGGTTAACAACATTTTTTTATTTTTGTTTTAGTCAAAATAATTAAGAATTTGTCCTTCCTCTGCGCATCAACATTGTCAGTGATGGCCACCACAACTTTTTTTTTTTTATAGAAAATTTCTTCTATAACACGGCCATTTTTGCAAGCATGAAACTGATGTAGTGGATCGTCGGAAGATGCGACCTGCAAGAATGATTTGAGTTTTCCCAATCCAAGGAAGAAGAAGAAGAAGCTTTCAAAGCTTTAAAAAGTGGATAATTTCATTTAATGCCTTTTTCTTCTACAAGACCTCATACTTATAAGATCAAAAGAGCATTCTAGAAGGTAATAACACAAAATAGATAAAGTACTCCTAAGGAACTATTCTAGCTTAAAATACACCACATCAAAAACTCATCAAAATCCTATAGGTAAAAGAGAAAAAATATTATTTATATGCAACTATTTATCCAAAATATTGCAGCAATATGTTTGACTGATGAACTGATCATTCAATGCATTAAAACATAATATTTATAACCAATAATATCAATCATATAAAATTTAATAAAAAAAACTTGCATTTAAATGGTATTTAAACTAAAAAATTTATGATGGAATTGTTGACTTCGTTTTCACATATTTTTCCTCTCGAGCATGCCCACAAAAAGGTGGGGATTAATTCATTAATATCACATGGTTCATCATAAATATTTTTATCATACACTATATATTATTGATATATCATCAAAAAATTATATTGATCGGGCACGAATCTCAAGAAAAAATCAAGTTGAAAATATCAAAAATTAAATTGGAGATAATATGAATCTCGATTTCAAAAATCTTTTAGTTGAACCGAACGTATCAAAAATAGGAACCCAATGAAACCAAATTTGACTCACTTCGAGCTCAAATGAGACCAAATCAAAGACCTGAAGTGAGTTTGGAAGGTTCAATCCTTAATTTAAACTATCAAACAGTTTCCAAACGTGACATGCTTATATTCGAATCGAGCGGCTCGACGAGACAAATCCAAAGAGTCCAAGATTGCCAAATTATAATATCATTACAATATTCAAATGCCTAGTAACGGTGCACGATGATTGATAAAACAAAAAAAAATTCCCAACTTGATTGATAAACAAAAATCGTTCTACGAGCTCGCTATCACGATGTTATCCATTCAGCACCACAATGCTCATAGAGAATTTCATGAATATAATTCACTATTCCAATCCATTTCTTGACTTACCTAAATGCTTAGTAGACACTCTTGGACCCATAATTTTTAATCAAATTCAAGATTAAATAAATATTAACAGTAATTATATGGGTTTTGAATGTCGGTTATTACAAAGTTAACCCACAAATATCATCATACATAAGATCAAATTCATTTATAAATATCTTTAAAGTGGCATATATAGTATACGTGCAATCAAATTATCAAACCCTTAATTTTGTTTAAATCATTAATAATCACATCGAAGGACCGGCCGCGAGACGGCCAAAAAAGCCCCGCCTTTTCTCCGTTGAAGTCCGCCGCTCGCCTCCGTGACCGTCGACGCCATGAACGATTCATGGTGTTTTTTTTCATTATCTCTATGTATTAAAGCCCTTCTCATCCCTGCATACCATAGCACGGATTTTGAGGTTCACCGCCATTGGCTCGCCCTCACGTCCTCGCTTCCACTCTCTCACTGGTACATCGACACCTCAAGCCCATGGACCCTAGACTACCCCCCGATCTTTGCCTATTTCTCCTTCCTTCTATCCCTCCCCGCCTCCCTCATCGATCCCACCATCACCGACCTTGTCGCAGGCCAGAACTACGCCGCTCCTTCGGCCGTCGTTTTCCTTCGCCTCTCTGTCGCCGCAGCGGACCTTTTTCTCCTCTCCGGGGCTCATCGTCTGTCCAGCCGTCTACCTCCTTTCCGCCGTCGTATCTTGCTCGCTCTTGTAATCTGGTCTCCTGCGCTACTGATCGTGGATCATATACACTTTCAGTATAATGGATTTTTTTTGGGGATTTTACTAATTTCGCTAGGTTTTATGGTGGAGGGAAGGGATCTTGCTGGGGGGATCGTGTTTGCTATTTTGATCTGTTCCAAACATCTTTTCATGGTGGCTGCACCTTTGTATTTTGTGTATTTGCTCCGGCATTATTGTAATGGTGAATGGAGTAGGGCGGTGGCTAGATTTTTGGTGATGGGTTTGGCGGTTGGGGCGGTCTTTGTGGCCACTTTTGGGCCATTCGTTTACTACGGACAGGTAAAAAGAGATCTTTCTTCTTCTTTTATTGATTTCTTGCTTTCTCCTGTCTGCTATTTTTACTCTTGGAATAAAAAAATGTTACATGAATTGGTTATCATTCGTGTACTACATCCTGATTAGAATCTAGCTCCAGCATGTATGAATTACAAATAATCATGTCAGACACTAATAATTAGACAATTGCTTCGGCAAGAGAGGAATTTTGATGTAAGATGTTTGATGTCTTTGTTTAATCCAGTTGAATGGCTAACTTTCTGTTTAGAATGCATGGCAAGTGCAGCTACCGTCTGTCAAGAATGAACTAACTTCTTTGAACTTGCATTTTTTAGTGTGATAAAGGCTTGTTGTTGTTGTAAGCTAAATTTATTTTCTCTTCATCTTGATATGCTATTTTCCTTCAGGATAATTTTAGCTTACATTAGGCTTTTCCATATCAGCATTCTTCAATTTGAAACATGATATGAAATATTGTTTGTTGTACCTATTATCATGTTTCTTTTTTGTTGTTATTTGATTCCTTTATTATCTTTCGTTCCTATTATGGCTAACCTTTTTTGTTGCATTGAAATTTTGTTGGCTAATGGCATTTTTATAGTAACTCGAAAACCTTTGGTTCTAAAAACAATGGTCATATTTTATCAATCCATTCCATTACAGCGATAGTTACATTTTATAATTTAGGCATTTTTCTTGTTTCGATGATAAAGTAAATTCTCACATGATAGTTTCAAACTTATGAAGTGATCAATTTGATCAGATATGATCCCATAATTGTTTAGCTAAATCATATTAATCTCTGCTTGTTCCTTATCTACCATTGAATTCTTAATTGTAGCTCTAGTGCAATTTTTCTCATCTTCATTGGGGTCTTCTTTTCTATTGGTTTGCCCACAACTTATGTGTGATTTACAACTACTTGGATTACAGTTCCTTGTGGTTATTGGGAGTTACTATTTTATTAACTTATTTGGAAGCTTATGATATCTCCTTATTCTAGACTATAGCATTATGTGATCTTCTCTTATCCCTGACTAAGATATAACGGTATTATATCCAATTGTTATGTTTGGCTTACATGCAACTTATGTGTGATTTACAAGTAGCGGCATTATAGCTCCCTGTGGTTATTGGGATTTACTATTCTACTGGCTTATCCAGAGGCTTACAATCTCTTAACTTGGACTATAGCATTATGTAAAATTTTTCTATCCAAGACTATGATTTAGCGATATTGTTTCCTATTCTTATGGTTGTTTACTGCTGGATTTCTATGTGTGACCCAATGAAAGTCTATATAAATAAGGTTTTTATAGGAGCATGCTCAATACATGGAGCTCCTGATAAAGTAGGAACATTGCATGCAATTTTACCTTAGCTTTTATAGAGAGGCTGCTTTCAATATTCAATCCTGGGACCTTTAGAATACAAGAGGCAACTTAACAATTGTTGTTTTTGAGGCATCTAAAAATAACTTTGGCTTCAATAAACTTAGCTTTGTGAATGTGAATTTTTCTTCTTTCTTTAAATACTTCAGTATTTTTTTTAAGTATGTGACTTGAAGCATCTTGGAGAGACGATATGTTTTAATAAGTTGAAGGCTATTATTAGATTTACTTTATTGTTTTGAAAGTTACAATTTCTGATTCCTTAGGGCTGAACTTGTTAAAACAAAATGAATAATGCATGCTCCATATTTTTAAGCAAAGTATTGTAGCTACAACAAAACCTATGTGAGATGAAACTAAAAAATAAACTTAAAAGAATAAAATTATCATTCAATGAATAATGATCATATATACCAAATGTATGATCATTTCAAAAACTTTAAATAAGCCGATTATGATCTGTTTGGATATTTTATAAGATTTAAGGGTTAATATTCTGCTATTAGTTGCGTGAAGATCATTATATTATTACTATTAATTTAATTAAAGTTCTTAGGTTATAAATTAATTATTAATTCAGCTATAGTTCTCCCTTGACATTAGATAAGACTTTATATGCGATTTTAGAGATTTGAGAGATATTACAATTATCATGTTGTTAGAACTATTGTACCTGTGCCTAATCTTTCTAAGGAATAGTCATTAAAGTCCCCTATAAAGATTGTGAAATACACACTAACACAACTATGTATGGTTATATTTAATATTTTTTGAATAAATTATATTTTATGAACATTCTTTAAATGAGGATTAGATACAAAAAATGATTTATAATGATAATATAATTCTACATTTAATTTTGTTAAATCTTAGCCTACACTATAGCTATATTAGAGCATATTTATGAATTTGAATATAAAGTTAAACATGACCAAAACCTGAACTTGATTTGAAAGTTGATAAATAGTTAGAACTTAAGTCTTAGAACATATTTTAATCAAAAATTTACTTTGAGCATGATCATTGATGAATATAAACTTGCATTAGAATATGAATCTATTATTGATTGTGAAATTGAACATATTATGCTTGGTGAAATTGATAATTAAATTGAAGAATCTTATAGTCTATCCCCTTTTGAATTCAGCAGCTAACAGAATTATTTTTACAAGTCAAACTAAAATTTATTTTAATTATTTTTTCTTAGTTTTTTGGTTTATAAATTCATAAAAAGATCTTTATGAAGAAAGTTAAATTGTATCAATATTTTAAAGAATTTTTTTAATGATGAGTGCCTTAAAGAAAATTTGAAATCTAAAATTCCATTGATTTCAGTTAATCTAAGATTTCGTTTGAGTCAATTTTCTTATTGCTTTCTAAAGCAGTTTTTTAGTACATAAATTTTTTAAATTAAAAACTTTTCTACTAAAAAGTTGATTTAGAAAGCAGCAAAGAAGCTTTCCTAAACAAAGTCCAAGTCTTTTGAATTTGCATTTGCTTTCTAGAAATATGTTTTATGTCTATATGTAGATATGTAATATTTGTCTGTTTTTAGATGAAAGCTTTAAGGAATTTAATTAATATTAATTTTAAGTTTTCTTTATCATCTCCTCCTTTTGAATTCTTTGCATGCATCACATAATATTGTATCACCCATTAGTTGCATGCACAATTTGCATATGAATATTTATAGGAATCTTGTTTTTGACTATGATAGTTACAACTTTGTTGTTTGTTTTTGTTGAAGATATATTGAGTTTAAAGAAGGTAGTAAAATGATGCTTAACAGTTCACATGAAATCCCAAAATAGTCAAGAAAGATTGGACCATATAAAGTCATATAATATATTAGAACTAAACTATATAAATTAGATATTTTGAATTTTAATTTATCAAATTTTACTTCATACAATGAACTATCAACCTGTGTTTAGATTCCTCTTTTCATCAATCTCCTCCATCTAACTCTACGTTCACCATAACATTTGTTCATTTTTCAAGCACAAATATTAATTTGTTCCTTGTAACCATTCTTAGTGGTGAGATAGTATCTATAGATATCAAAGATGTCTTATTAAATGAAAAGATAGGCCTCCATTTGATAATTCTTGAGTCTTGTATATCTAGATTTATTAGAAGAATTTCACATAAACAATTTTTTGAAGCCTAGCTTTTCCATTTCAGCCAAAAATAATGTGGACATTGCTCCTTATCTGTGGTTGCATTCATGAATATGACTCCGGTGGCTTCCCTATGGTTCTTCTTGTCCTTATAATGGTCTCATATTTTATCTAGCTTACTTGCTGCTAATCTTTGATTAACTCTTATTGGGATTTTAGCATTTTGTAATTATAAAGATTTCCTATTCTTCTGGCTTATACAAACGCTTACAATATATCCTTATTTGGGACTATAACATTATGCAATCTTCCCTTATCCAGGATTGCAATCTAGAAGGGTTGTTTCCTATTCTTATGGTTTGGATATGCCTGAATTCTTATCTATGTTTCGTGGCGCAAGTCTTCATTATTGTAGTTGTTTTAAGATGATGTAAAAATAACATCCGACTTGAATAAAAATAACATCCGACTTGAAGAAAAGTAACATCCGACTTGAATAGATTTAACTTTGTGGATGTAAAGTTTTTATCATCCTTTCAAAACTTAAATGTTTGATCAAGTGTAAGAATTGAGATTTGAAGCATTCTGAGAGTAGATTTTTTTTTTTTTTTTTGTTCAAGTGAGAGGCTTGATGTTTGTTACTCTTTTTCTTTTTTCATTTTCCTTTTCTTTAAATCAATTAGTGATTGATTGACAGTCTAATTGATGAATTCTTAAGTTTGATATCTATTTGACTTTATTTATATGTAGTATGTATTAATAATTGTGATTTCCATGATTCTTATTTGTTAATGTTAACTTCATTAGAAGATCAAAACTTTTTCTCTTCGAATTGAATTCTATTTCTTTTTATTCATGGTCTAATTTGTAACTTATTGTTTGTATTTAATAGTTTACTCCACTGCTAGTTTTATATGTTTATTCTTGCATTTGTTTATTTGCATTTCATCTACAGTATCTATGAACTGAAGCATTGCATATTTTCTCCTATTAAACTTGCACTAAAAATTTTAAACCTTAAGACAACTTGCACCACCCTATTATGCATTTTTTTTTGTCTATTCTTTTCTCTTGTATGCTATTGAATTGCTATTTTTCCCTTGAAAAGCAAGATTCTACTCTAATAATATTCTTTTGATATGATTAGTTAGTAATTCAAATTATAAGTAATTTTGACAGTTATCCTATACATTGGAGGTGCATGGATGATGGAGAATCATGGGGTTGATTCAATTATTTATATGCTTCTATGCTTTTGCAGATCCAACAGGTCTTCCATCGTCTATTTCCATTTGGCAGGGGTCTGTGTCATGCATATTGGGCTCCAAATTTTTGGGTATTTTATATAATCCTTGATAAGGTTCTTGCTTTTATTCTTGGCAAACTAGGATTCATTATTCAAACACCAAAGGCTTCTTTCACTGGTGGACTAGTCGGGGATTCCTCAGCCTTTGCTGTCCTTCCCCAGGTGATCATTTTATATATCATTTTGTTGTTTTTTTTTTCTTATTCAAGATTACCAACTTACATCTTCATAGCTAATATTATCATAGAAGTTATTTTATAATTTTTGACCGTTGCACTTGTTGTAGTGACAGATCAACCCTATTATAACATTCTTGCTAGTTCTTCTTGCCATGTCTCCTTGCCTCATTAAGGCATTTGTAAGGCCCCAGCCAAAACAGATAATCAGATGGGTGGCTTATACCTTCACCTGTGGGTTTATGTTTGGTTGGCACGTTCATGAGAAAGCTTCGCTCCATATCACAATCCCTCTTGGTATCATTGCTACGGATAGTCTGGCCGATGCAAGACACTATTTCTTATTGTCCATCGGTATGTTTCTTCAGCTGCGGCTGCTCTGACCATATTGTTGAGTGTCTTTTTTTTTTTCATCCTCTCTTACTAAGTGTCTTGGTTGCTATTACTTAGAAATTTTTATGTGTTGCATGATACTTTGCATATTTTGTGTTAGTTGAGTTATCAATATTCATCCTTGTCCATGTATACAAGGATTTTGAGGGATGCATTACTCTAAATTGTGATTCTGTGAGCTTTGTTGAGGTCCACGTATACAGGAAAAATTCTTTGTGGACACCGGACAGTGTCCGAAGACCAACTAGAACGTGTCACGTCACTGTTTTACTCGGTACCGGTGCTCTATACCGAGTGACGTGGCGCGTTCTGGTAGGTCTTCGGACCGTCTGGTATTCGCACATAATAATTTCCCGATCCTCAGAACAGCACCAGACATCTCTTACTCTTTTAGAATAAACTAAATTGCATGTTTTTTTTTAATAGTTTCATACAGCAATTTCTTGTCATCATAAAGGCAGAAAACTAATCATTTCTACAACTTCAATAAACTCTTTGTGACATTTTGTTTTGATCTTCCATTTGTTGATTGCAGTATCCTGCTATTCAATGTTCCCATTGCTTTTTGAGCCCCAGGAATATCCAATAAAAGTACTGTTGCTGGCCATATACTCGGTTCTCATGTGGGTTGGCTTTTCTTCTCTTTTCAGCAATAGTAAAGCTCCTAAACCAGCAATGGAGAAGAAAGTTGAAAGATCTGGCAATGGAACTGGTTTAGTTGGACCAGTTTCTTCCTGCTATCTCCTAGGGTTAGTGGGTGTTGAGATTTGGGGCCAGTTTCTTCACCCATACATTTTTGGTAGCAGATTTCCCTTTCTTCCTCTGATGCTAATTTCTTTCTATTGTGCCATTGGTATGATGTACTCATGGGCATGGCAACTTAAGCAGATCATCAGAAACAGCTGATTAAGGCTTCGTTTGGGACGGCTTTTTTACGGCATCTTAAAGCGTCTTTTTAGTACAAAAATTAAAATTTGTGTTAAAATGTTGCTTAGGAAGCAGTAAAACAGCTGTCCCAAACAAAGCCTAAATTTAATCCACATGCTTTAGGGTTTCAATTTTCATTTTTTTTTAATTTAATTGTAATCTATGGGATCAATTTTTTGGCATGTTTCTTGATTAAATGATACTCTTTGTTATTGTAAGTTGGACATAATTTAAGCTTCAATTGATATAAAAAGTTATTGGTCCTTTATGATAGTTTGTCATTGTAATTACTTCAGAAGCCTTTGAATTGGGTATTGTTCATTTGTTAAAAGTATTCATTTGATTAAGCAAATTTTGGATCTTGAAGCAATTTTCAGATGAAAAAGCATCTAATTTTTTTTGAATTAAGGCTTTGTTTGTGGAGCAATTATTACGTCCGGTCAAAACCGAACGTATCTGAATCTATACCGAATAATACCGAGTTTTAGGTGATGTGGCGCGTGGTTATTGATCTATGAACGTGTTCGGTGACCAGACGTAATAATTGCTCTTGTTTGTGACACCTTTTTTATTGCTTTTTAAAACAGTTTTTTAGTACGAAAAATTCTATTTCAAGAAATATTTGTGCAATAATTTTGTTTTAGAATGCAGTAAGAAAGTTGTCCCAAACGAAGCCTAAATCTTCTTGTAATCTTTGGATCATCTAAACTTTTTTTTCAACAAAGTTATAGTTGACATAAGCATCGTGAATAAGGCACTATGATGTCCAAAAATCTTAGAATCTCCCAATTCCAACATTAATAAGACACTAATACATCTAAGAAATATTATATAACTATGGAAGATTAACATACACCATCTAATTGGATAGTCTAATTACTAATCAAAATGATCATAATATACGCTTTAAAAATTTTTAAACAAGTCTTCTTTCTACTACACATTAAAGGAGAACAAAGAAGGTGAGGATGAAACCCCCATCAGATTTTTAGAGTAGAGAATCCAGAGCTTCTACTATTATATGTATTTGTCATCAATACTAATGCCCAACATGGCAACATTGTTAATAATGTTGATGTTTGTCATGGACAACAATAATAGCCTACACCACTAATATCAATGATAAGGCACTATATTGCCAATGAGGCCCATGCCTATCTTCACAAACAACGATGCTCTCTGCCATTGCCAATAATAAAAAAGATCGTCATCACCAATAATGCTAATGCCCACCACTAATGTTTAGGTTAATGTCTTTCATTGACAGTAATTTGATGCCTATTATCAACAATAAGATAAATGCATATTATTGATGTCAATGATGATACTAGTCATTTGTGTTATAGATGGTGCCCATCATCGCAAATAATATTGACACCCATCGTTGCCTCCAAGTTGGATAATTATTATAGCCACCAACTCTGATGCCCACTATCACTACTAAGACTAAATCTTCCATTGCTAATAATATTAATGTCAGTTGTCACTAACAATGTCGATGCCTACCATAACCATTAATGAGAATGTTTGCAATCACCAGCAATGCCAACGCTCTTTGTCATTAGTAATGCTAACAAGTATCATTGCCATCAAAGCTGATCCACCATCATCAATAAGACCAATAATACTAATGCCTATCATCTCTAACAAATCTAATGCAAGTCATCTTGGTTTTTAGTCCCTTAGCACAAAAGGAGAATGATTGAGCAGATCATTAAGCATCTCTTAATGACAACTCCAATGTTCAAAGGATCCTTATAGCTTTAAAAGGATATTTCCATTAATATTTCCATTTTGCAATAAGTAGATTAAGATTGGGAGAGATCATTGATATAGCTTTAAAAGGATAATTGCGTAAGTAAATTGGGCCTGATTTTAGTTGGGTAATCCCTCTACAATAAGAAGTAAATTAAGACTTGAGAAAATCCTTATTGTGGCTTTGAAAAGATTTTCACATTAATGTCTTTAGCATGACTATAGCTGAGCAATCCCTTTGCCATCCATTAGTAATATTGAAAAAAACTTAAAATACAGCTTGTATTAGATGGGGTCTTCACTTAAAATTTTTCATCATATTAATTGATAGTCATGAGCTCTACGAATTTAAAACTTTGATATAAGCTTTCAATTGAAGTGTAATACCTCCTCTTATTAATTTAAAGGCCTTATTACTCTGATCAAATTTACTCTTCAAAAATCTCTATTATTATATTTATATTAATTTCTCTAATTTTGACCCCTCTATATGAATATATTCATATATATGCATAAATTTAATTCTCATTGATTCTTTGAGATTCCTACGTGAGTACTTAAGATGTATTTTTTATTTGATATCTCATCACAATAAACTATAACATTTTTAAAAATATATGTAAAATGCCCTAATAAAAAAATAAAAATATACTTTAAACTCATAATTTATTTTAAAATAGATAAATAGACAAATAATTTTGATTACATTTATTAAAAATAATTTAATGGTTTTAAAACTCATTTTATTAAAAATTAATGATTATATTTTTTTTTTAAGAAAAAAAAAAAACCCACGAAGAACAATCTAGAATTACCGGCCAGTCCTAAGGGTGTTTCATATAAAGCCCTCCCATTCTCGATCGAGAGAGAGAGAGAGAGAACTTAGTAGGACATTTCTTATCACTTCGTCAAGAATCTTCCATGGCGTCTTCACTGCTCGCACCTACTAAGACTTTTCTCCTTTTCTCTCCGTCGCAGGCTCCTCCTCCCCGAATCCCTTCTTTTGGCTCTCCACTTAGTCGCTGGAAGCTCGATGTCAGGCGGCCGAGGTCATTTAGGGTCTCGTCAATGGCACAAAAATGGGAGCCTTCTAAGGTTTCCTCTCTCTCTCTCGCCCGTCTCTTCTTGTTTTCCTTTTCTAGGCAATTCATAATTTCTTGTTTGAGCGCAGGTCGTTCCGCAAGCGGATAGGGTTCTAATTCGTCTAGAGGAACTACCCGAGGTATTCCCTGTCTTTGTCGATCGCTGATTGATTCCGCTTAAATTTCCCTCTGGCTTTTATTTATTTTGTATTAGTTTGAGTGGAATAGATTTGTGATATTTGACACCGTTTCATTGGATCTATTTACCTTAAATTGTCTGAGTGTTTTCATAGGGAATGAATGCATAGACTACATCGCCTGACTTTAGATATAACTTGATTGATGGTTAACATTGTTTGGACAGTGCCTTTTATTTGAAATGTTGCAGTAATTTTGTTGGAATGCTGTTAGATCCATAGCTGCAACATCAACACCAATGATTGAGTTTTGTAAAATAAATTGTGATTAATATTCTTTCAGATTTGGAAAGATTTCAGGTGAAGGTAGGTTTACATTAGAAATTTATATAAGATCTCTGTATTGATTAGTAATGTGCCTTGGCTCTGTTTGTTTTAAAAGAATTTAAAGAAGGAAATGAAATTAAAAAATGGAAATAAAAATAAAAAAATCAATAAAATTGGTGACGATTTGGACTGAAAATAGTTTTGATTGAAAGATGTTTTTTTTTTTTCTTTTTGTTGCTTGATCAATGATAAATAGGTTTTTGTTTTTTGGTGAGGAAGGGAATTGTAAGATACAGTGCTAACCTGATAAGTTTTTCTTCCCATTTTTTGCTAGGGTTGAGTGAGGAATTTCCAATGCAAAAATTGCATTTGTTCACATTTCTTAGGTAAATATACTTATCTATAAATCACATTGAAACCCAACACCCAATAAAATTGTGAAATAACATGCATTTGCATTCCCTCTAGCTCCTACATAGCAAACATTACCTTTGTGTTTGTTGCTCCTTTCATAGTTAAGGACAAAGGAGCAGTACTGTTAACATTGAGGAATTATATATATGCTTTCCATTGGGTGTTGATTTACATATTTCAAATTTTCGTGTGCTCGTTGGTTGCTTGGATGGGGTGAACTGTGGCCTTCAGAGAAGAGATTGCAGCTTTAAATAAGCAAAGATGGAGTATTTACTTTTGCTGTTTTGTGAATTAATTGATCTAATGATTTATTATTGTATCTTTACATCATCTTATAGACAAACTTTTGTATCTCAGAAATCTGCAGGTGGCGTGCTTTTACCAAAATCAGCTGTTAAATTTGAAAGATATCTGATGGGTGAGGTGAGGAAATAGTATAATAATTTAAGGTGTTAACTCTTTAAAGAAGAATAACGTGTAGTGAATAGTTCTCTTTTCTTTGAAAGATTTTATCTGTTGGTGCTGATGTTGGTGAATTAGAAGCTGGAAAGAAGGTATGTTCCACACCTGTGTCAAACACTTTGAATAACTTTTACATTTTGGCTGAGGGAGGCACTTGTAATAATGTACTTGTTTTGATATCCGTGCTATAAATAATGTTTTTCATAAGCAAAAATTCATCGGCAATGCTAAAGTTGCTGTTACTATCCTCAAATTTGAAATTTTTTAGTTTGATATGACTCAATTTCTACAAGGCCCAATGCCTGATGTTTCTGATTAAAGTGAAGTAGATACTTAGCTTGCAAGTGAATGTTAAGTTGACAAAAACTTGGTCTTTTTCAAACTTCTCCAAAGTCCTTGATTGTGTTGAGGATTTATGTTTGCTGTTGAGGTTTGCGATTCTCCTTTTGGAGGAAGTCTCTTTGTTGTGGATTTGACATAATTGATCGGTTATTTTAAGTTGATTGATTTGTCATTGGAACTTAGGCCCCTCTTTAACTAAAGAAGTGCCATTATTTCCATTAATACCTCATGAACAACTAAATAACACTTTCTAATTGTTTATGTGTCTACTTTGTAATTTCTGAGTTTCTTTATGTAACAATTTGTTTTCCAATTATCTTCTAGCTTTTAAGCATGGCATAATCGCATATAAGTGCTGCGTCTTGTATCATTCTTAGTCTTGTTTGACCAACTATTTTCTTTTTATTTGTTTGCAGGTTTTATTCTCGGACATAAATGCCTATGATGTAAGTGATTCTATTTTTTTTTTTATTTTTTATTTTACTTACACGCTGTCCCCACTTATGTGATGATTTCATTCGTTGCATTTTTCTTTCTTTATGTTTTTTATGATATTAAACTTCTGCTTTTTAAAAGTCATATATTAAAATTTGGCCTGGTTGAAATATTGATTTGATGAGTGTTTTTGATAGATTACAACTTTGAACTCAGTGAAAAAGGTATAAAAAATTTTCCTCAGTTAAGCTGGAGTAAAAAATAGATCATATTGTTGGATCTAAAATTGTTTGGGGACAACATTTAAACCTTACTAATGCATGCAATGAGAGGAAAGCAAAGATGAGAGAGAAAGACAGAGAAAATCTATAGAGTATGAAACTCTGGTAGTTTATTATATTGAGAAAAATGGGTTTAAGTACAAATAATCTCCTTGCTTGTTGACCTTCCACGTACCTCCTATTTATAGGTTTGTATCATGATTTAACACTATAAGAAAGGTTACATAAATATAAATGAATGCAAAGTGAAGCTTAATTGCACTTATTGTAAGTACAAGAGGCATGTTGTCTAATTATGTTATAATACATATTGACTAATTTTACTAAGCCATTGGTGAAATCATCGACTTGACCAAAGGTAGTCATCAACTTTCTGGAGTGACTGATGGCAAGTAGCTCTTGAGCATGACAGAGTTTACCCAGGTCAAGTATACCCGAGATTTGTCTAGTATGCTTAAATGAACCATGAGATGAATTCATCATGATCCTGGCAACTTCATGTCGACCTTTGCGAGTTACTTTGAGCTATGTTATCAAGCTTTGAGATATTTGGATGTACATTTAGGATAAAAATTTGAAAGGTCGCATGAAAATAAAACGGCAGAGCTTTTTTTTTTGTTTGACAGGCACACAATCTCCTTTAAAGCCCATATCTTTTTGCTTAAGCCATGGATGTTCTTGCTAGAGATTTGCAAAATGATGTGCCTTGATGTATGCTTTTTTTTTTTATGATATTCTTATTGTTTATAAGACTAGAGAGGGAGTTGAAGTGAAATTTAAATTATAGAGGTCAACCTTTGAGTATAAAGGTTTTTGATTGAGCAGATGTAATTTTAATAGTAATAAATCTTGTGGTGGGAATGTGAAATTGGGTGATCAAGTGATTAAAAAAAGTGTCCGTTTAGATATCTTGGGTCTATTGTTCAAAGCGATGGTGTAATAGATAGGGTTATTATTAGTATATTTCATGTTGGATGGTTGAAGTGAAGGAATGCATTGAGCCTGTAGTATGGTAAGAAAAGTACACATCGAACTACAAGAAAAAATTTATAAGATAATAGTGAGACCTGTAGTGCTTGATGGCGTTAAACGAAAAGTATAAAATTAAGTGTTGTAGAGAAGGATATGCTCAAGTGGATGAGTGGTTTTACACTTAAAGATAGAATGTGAAACAAATGTATGCTCAAGTGGATGAGTGGCTTTACACTTAAAGATAGAATGCGAAACAAGTGTATGCTCTAAGGTTGAAGTAGTTGTAGTACATGATGAAATTCGGGAGAGTCTCCTTAGATGGCCTTCCGTTGACCTAATTTGAAGAGTAGATGTATTAGATTTTGCCTATGTTAAGAAAGGTAGAGGTAGACTTAAAAAGACTTGGTTAGAAAGTATTAGAAATTAGTTTTTTATTAGATTGAAATAAAAATTTGACTCTTAATAGGACACATTGAAGAAAAAGGGTTCATGTAGCTGCCCCACATAGTGGGATAAAGGCTTCATGTTGTTGTTGTAGGGTTTACATTCAAAATATATATTCATCATATTTAAATTCTCTATGGTTAGTAAGTAATTGTCTTTTGTGCAATCTGATCATCCAATTCAAGTTGGATGGTTAGGATTGAGTATATGAAAAATCAAAAAGGTGGTTTTAAATACATATCACAAATTTTTTATGTATTTGCATATATTATATTTAGATCTTTATATTTACTTGATATAGCATACTAATTTCTAAAATATATAAAAAATATTACTAATATATATTTATCTAGAGCAACAACAACAACATTAAGGAAAATAAATCTTTTCACCCATGTATTTTGGTGTGATTTAGTTATTTGGATTTTAATTAGTAAATAGAAAGATTTAGATGGTGGAAATGTAAATATATAAAAATTAGGGGGTATCTATATAACTCCCTCAAAGCAAAGTAATTATTTTCATACACTCAACCAGTGGCCTTCAACTAGGATTGGATGATCGCTAGAGAGAGAGAGAGAGAGAGAGAGAGAGATAATAGTTTTGTTGTTTTTTAATTGATAAGAAATTGACTCATTTGATCTCATTTTTCCCTTTATAAATGCTACAGATCGACTTGGGGCCAGAGGGAAGGCACTGCTTCTGCAAGGCTGGTGATTTGCTTGCTGTGGTTGAGTAAATATTCTAATTATATTTTCCACAATCTACCCATTTTGTTCTTATATGTCTGAAACTTAGATATTTTCGTGCTCGATCATTTAGCTTAGTAATGGAGGTATTATGCGTGACCAATTAGTAGCATCAAATTTGTTTTGAAAACTGAATTTTGATTGAATGTAGGGGCTGTTTGGTTGCCTGAATTAGGAGTGTAAAGTAAAACAAATACATGTATTTATTAAATTTGGTTGTTTGGTTAATTTTGAGCGGAGCAAATTAAATAAGTATATAATAAATTTATTTCATTTTCTTAATAATTATATTTCTTAAAATTTAAACTCAATCGAAGAAGGCAAAATATTATTATATTAGAGGTTGCTAGTTTGAAGTTGAAAAAAAAAACTAATTATCATGTAGCAGAATAAAAATAAATATTATTAAAAATCAAAGAACATAAATTGAAATAAGAAAATTAATTTTAGTATTAAAATATTTACATATGTTTTAAAATGAAAAAGAAATTGACTTCAATTATTTATGTTTTATACTTTTTAAATTAAAATATACGTCTCTAAGTTATTTTATTTTCATGTTTTAACTTGTATATACTATGTCTAATAAATTTCGAATGCATGCCAAGCATATATATTACACAGAAAATCCTATTGAATTAGTATTAAAAAATAACTTTAAATTAAACTTTATTTAGAACGGCTTTCTTACTGCCGCTTAAAACTACTTTCTAAAAAAAAAACAATTGTCCTAATTGTTTTTTCAAAAATAAAAACCTATAATATCACAAACTTCTGAGAAAAATATTTTCCACAACAAATTTTTAATTACTTTTGCAAAACAAACATCCTTAACTAATCTCATATATAAGATATGCCAAACAACTTTTTTTCTAATTAAACAAAGTTTTACTGATGAAATTATAAATCATCCATCTTAATTTTAATTTTTTATTACTTAATATGGAATTACCTACATAAATCTTTTTTTTTTTCCATTGTGTTCAAATTTTTTACTCAACAAATAAAAAAATATTTATCATAAACCCCACATGAAGTGTCACATAATTACACAGCTAATGTCATATCAACACAAAAAAATATATTTTTCAGGAAAAATCTACACTATAAAATACATGTACTAATCTACTTTTAACTCAAAATTAGAAGAAGAAAAGAACTACAACAAACTACACCTAATAATCAAAGCATCACAAACATAATTACATTGCATATCAACTAAATATTTAACAATCATCAAGTCTAAATCAACCAAGACATTTACGGAGAAAAAAATCCAAGCATTCAATCAAAGGCTCTCCAGCTCACACGCTTTCTACTTACAAAAACCTGCACGCTCTAATACCCCACTTCAAGACAAGCACAGAGCGTATAAACAAAGCTATCTCAACAACTCTGCCTTTCCAAACCCCCCAAAATCAAAAAACAACTCTCATATATATATATATTTCTGTAGGTAGGCAAATGGAAACTGGAAAACCCTTCAATTTCATGCTACTGTTTTTTTTACACTTGGAATGGTAAGTAAAGTAGGAAAGAGAAAAGAAAGGATAGATACCTTTCGTCGGCTCTAGCCGTGCAGGAGGTTGATCGCCGCTGCGAAATCCAAATTTTTTCGGACCCGAACTGAATCAGCTTCTATTTAGGGATCCAATATGTAATGGAGTGGCAAGCTAGCCCCAACCTTCTGTACCTTTCATGAGCCAAGAAAGGCAAATACTGGCAAAATGCATATTTTGCTCATAGGGAGAACTTTAGTCCCATGTGGATCATAAGATTATAGATGAAATCAGCCATTATAATGATGTTTTTGGCTGGATAGGCTCTGACTCTGTTGCTGTGAAGGCTGCTGCACATTTAAAGGCTGAGCATTGTATTGGGTGAATGGTTGGGAATAAATAGGATTCATATGGCCCTGCATGTATGTAACTTTCAGGAGTTCAGCTTTCTGATAGTCTGGTTTAAAAAAAGGGTTTTTACATACATAACATTAAAAATTATTGAAAATACATCTCATTTTCCTTCTATTCTACCACTCCATTGAAGCGATGAGATACTTGTATTCACTGTGAAAGGACGCCATTGACGGGAAAGACGGTCGTTGATAGTGATTTTTGACGGAACGTTTAGAAGGAATGTTAGAATAAGTTTAGGTGTTAAATATGTATTTTCAATAGTTTTAGGTGTTATGTATGTAAAAATCCCTAAAAAAAATATAGGGGTTTGATAATCAAGATTCAGACCTGTGACTGTAGTGGACCAGGTGCACCAAAATGGCTATGAGAAGAATCGTTTTGAGAAGGATTATTGAATCCTGACTGTGTAAATAGTCCTTGAGATCCATGCTGTAAGTAATCCTGAATAAAAAGACTATCATTTAGTTGAAAAGATGAAGCAAAGCTGATAGCTTGTTAAGACTACTGGCAATGGAATGTATTGTTGTTGGGTTTAAGAAAATAACATGAGAGATGAATCCGTTCCCAGTGCCAATATTGGTATATCCTGGTTGGGTATTCTGATTTAGGTAGTCTGGGAATCCAGCTTGAGGGCCTTGGGAAGCATAGTCAAGGCCGTATCCACTTTGAGAAGCCTGCAGGATAAACATACCGTATGATTCACGTTATGTAGTAGTAAAGACCGAAGTAGAAGAAGCTATCACTGCTAAAGAGACAGCTAGGAAATTCTACGGTACATTTGAATAGGGAATAATTTAATTTAAACTTGTCACAAAAAATATAAACATAACCAACCAGCAAAGACAATTTAATTAAATAAATGCAGACAAATAAGATATTAAACCAAATATTACCAATTCCATGTAAATTTGAAATTAGAACAGATAAAAGAGAAAGAAATATTGATTATTGATAGTAAAATCTAATGAGTGAATAAAAAAAATTTAATTTGCACAAGTTCAAGTATATTTCTTGCCTTATTTTGCTTTTTCTTCTAATAATCTGAGATAAAATGCCTTCATGCATATTATTGTTGTTTCTCAACTAAAGCTTCAAGGGATTCTATATTTTTTTTTTCAATTTTGTTTGAAATGCTGAATTTTAATATTTTCTAATATGCATCTTTTTATAGCAATTGTGAAAATGTTAGGAAACAAGTGCAGTAATTAAAGAGAGCTTGGCTGAAATTGTTAAGTTCAAGCAGAATTTGAGATAAATCCCATGGCAAAACACTAGGGAAATTTGAGAATAAATGAAAAGTGGAAGAAAACAAACAATATACAATGGATCATCACTTCGAGAGGAAGATCTGGCTCTCCCAATCCCTAGCCGACGGCTAGAGCCCAAACAATCCTAAAAGAAATCCCAAATTTAGCAAAAACATAACATAACCCTAACCCTAACTAAAAAATAAAAAAATTAAAAAAAAAACCTATTTAGAGAATACAAATATAGTAATAATTACTAGACAGTCCGTCCCAAAATTAATACCCTCCTAAATCACCCCCTCCTCTTTAATTTTGTATTCAAATAATAGGCCCCACAAGGGTCATGATACAATTTATGCCAGAGGCCAAGATGAGTGAAATATGAGGGACATCAAGACTCCATCTAAATCATTTTCTCCAAGTAGGCCCATTACTCATATAGGCTAAAGATAAGCCAAATTTTATGAGTATTTTAACAAAGGCAACAAAAAAACCACAAGTGTTTGTTGATCTATTGTTGAGCTTTCTCATAATTCAATATTTGATGAATTGAAAAAAAAAATTAATATTAAAGAAAATTCATGCCATACTTTTATAAGTATATTGTTAAATGAAATTGATTTCAATAATATAATTCAACTTTAAATGAGTTTAAGGATTATTTTGCATGGAGATTTGAAAAAATGTCAGGCTTACATTCACATATAGCAGCATAAACTTGCAATTCAATAATTACTCCTAAACTACTTTTGATATATAAAGGCCGTACAAAATATAGGGATTCATATGTACCTAAATTTGGCTCACCTCATCTTAGTCATGTGTTTAACAAAAGCTCTAATCTATTGTCATTTTGATGCAACGGGCAAGGTTATAACTAGGTAGAGTACAAATTAGCCTTAGTCTCCTCTCATTAGCCTCAATTCCTCAATTATTAGTGGAGTACCATAAAAAACTGAGTTTCTAACCTTAGAAGCAATTAACATAGCCCATGTCAGCAATAAAATCTTAAGTTTTATTAAAGGCTGTATTCAACAATAAACACAGATTATTTAAGGTAAACACCCATCAATAGCCATATGATCAAGCATCGATTATTAAGGAAATAACCTCTTGTAAAGCTAAAAGATTCCCTGATAACCAGTAAATGTGGATGCAAAGGAATCAAGCTTGATATTTAATTGTATGGTAAAAACCTTCATAAGGAATTGAAGCCTAGCAAAACAATCATCCCCATCATCTCTCCTCATTCCTCTCTAATATCTCAAAGTATTTATAATTGCCAATTATACTCAACCAATTCCAGGCTATTACAAATATTTGTCATATCGCTGACGCTTGTCTTAAAAACTTGAGTAGCATTGTCCCATAACAATAAAAACAAACTCAAAACCAACAATTTTCACTTTGATTACTTACGAACGATAGTGTTATATATAGGTGGAAAAAATTCTCATAGAAAAAACAATCATCAGTTGTAACCGAGGCGAAACAAGGGAAGCAGCCAATAAATTATTACTTTAAGATTTGAAGAAAGAAAAGTTCAGACTCACAAGGACCAGAAATATCAATGAGTTCTCTGCTAAGAGATTCAGGAGCCTTCCAATGAAAAGAGATGCCAAATAATGGGACAGGACATAATCCAAGTATTTCTACTCGTCAACTTTATTATTTTTAAATCTGAACCTAGTAAGATGTCTATTTGCAAAAGGTAAAGAACAGAAGCAAATGCAGCGCAGAGGCAAACCAACCTGAGTAGAAAAGTCTGCACCATTATAAGCAACGTGTGAACCTTGGCTTTTGAAATCATCACCATAATCCTGATAAAATCATTGTTTAGCGTTAGAAAATATATATGTAGATGAACAAAAGGGATTGGAAATGGTTAGACGAAATTGATATTAATACCTGAGACATGCCACCAATAGAAAATCCATCACGAAAAG